ACATTAGTGGTCATTTGAGAGATGCAGATGAAAACTACACTGAAATTCCAACTCACCCCACAAAGAATAGATGCTATCAAGAAATCACACACATTAACAAATGTTGGCGGGGTTCTGGAGAGCAATATACCCTTCTCCATTGTTGGTAGGAGTGCAGACTGGTGCAACCACTATGGAAATCAATATGGAGATTCCTCAAGGAGCTGGGACAAGAGGTTCCTTTTGAACCTAGCCATAGATCTGCTTGTATCTTTACAAAAGAACTAAAAGAATCATATTACAGTGACATATGTGCACCTATGTTTGTAGCAGCACAGATTCTAATAGCTAAAACTTGGAAACAGCTCATTTGCCCACCATTGGAAACTGGATAAAGAAGATGTGGTTTTTCTGTAAAATGGAATACTACTCAGATATAAAGAATGAGAAGTAGTTAGATTCATTCATAGGCAAATGGATACATTTTTAGGATATACTTCTAAGGGAAATAAATAAATCACACATGTGTAAATACCAAATAGTTTCTCAGGTGTGAAAAACTATAACAGTACTCAAGATGCTAAGTGGGATAATTAACAACGTGAAATAGGAATGAAAGAGGAATAAAAGGGCTAAAGGTACAGGGAAAGTGGGAAGGGAGGGGTTAGCGGAATAAGGGAAAAGAAAAAAATGTGAGAAAATAAAAAAATGGAAATAAAGCGTTTGTAAATGGGGAGGAGATGAGGGGGTGAAGAGAGTGTAGGGACAAGGGAAAAAATGAGAACCAAGACCTGTCATGTAAATGTGCAAGATCACAGTAATGAATGTCACTCTAATGTATATACCTAGAATGTACCAATGCATTCAATAAAAAAAAAAGAAGGGAGGAATTGACCTTCCTAAGAAAACCTGAGATTTGTGCATTCACTGGGGACAACTGATTTACTGTAATGCAAGAAGAAAGTCCCTGAGTAATGTTTATCCTGTGCTGCTTTGCTTCTTTTCCCTTGGTGTCTCCTCTGAGTGGGATATACAACGTCTAAATAATGCAAATGCACATTTTATACAAAGTGTCATAGTTGTCCTACGTTTTCTACTGTACCTTCCACCACTTACCTTAATGATTAAATGTATTCTTTCTCTATTTATCACGCCATGTACTTAAATTGGAATAATAAAGAAGTTCACTAAAATTGGCTTGCCCTGCTTTTCTTCAAAAACTTCAATTATTTACCATTTTTAATTTGAGAGATTATGAATAAACTGAGAGCTGGTGGTTAATTTCTCTCAGGTAGATAATAAATTGGAGAAGTGATTGTAAAGTTCCCCTACTAGTCTTCATGTATTAAAATCATTATCAAATTTGTCTTCTTTATTGTACACTTCTAATTCTTAAGACTAAGTGGCAAAACATTGAATTTAACCTCTAGTTAGGGGAAAAAAACATGCACTATTTATATTTCAATTTCTTATCATTAAGCTTGGAAGTGGTTACTCATTTACATAAGACACAACACATATGAAAGTCATCAAATTGAAGTGTTTGTGTGGTGAAATTTAGGAGGTTGTGTTAAAAGATGAAATGAATTAAAATGTTAAAAATATTCCAAGTAAATGTACCATAAGGATCTTTCAAATCATGTGAACATGTTTAATAAAGTGTAATGTGCAAATGATTAGTTGCATAATATTTATGTATTTAAAAATCAAATGTTTCATATTAAAAAAAATTTTACAGAAAGTATAAATTTAATATATTTTTTCTCTACTATAATCTGCCAGAAAATATAAAAAACAGGGGCTCAATGGTGCCTTTTCTATGTCACTGTTTTCAAGATAAGTAAAATGTAAGGGTATTATGTTATTCTATGTTTATTAATTTCAGGCATATTAAGACATAATTTTCATGCTAAGCACTCATGTGAAATGTATGACTCTTGGTAAAAGTTTACAGATCATCAATTTTTGTAAGTGACTACAGGTCACCAGTTCTTCATCTGTTCAGAGCCTTGAGGGCATTTGCTTTCTAAATAAGAACGCCACAGAGGAAGCACTTGGGGATTTCCTCAGGATTACTGTTTTGTAATGTCTGTCCCTTAGTCAGTCTATCCGTCTATCTCTCATCCATCCATCTATGCCTATCTTTCTATCTGCCTGTCTTTCCTATTTACTCTATGTCCTGTTTGTCTGTGTTTGTGCATGCTTTTCTACTCCTGGATCATTCAACTTGCCAACTGGTCTCCCATCCATCAGAATCCCTATTCACCCCCCATTTGTCCACTGGTCCAAGGAAGATCAGGACTCATAAGGGCCCAAACTGACAGTTGATGATTGCATATTAGCTCTTTTGAGCATGTATGAAGTCTCAGGAGAGGAGTTGGAGCAGTCTGGAAGAATCTCAGCCTTTAGGATGTCTGAGTGAACTCTGCAATGACCTCTACTGGTTAGTGTTCTGCAATCTTAACAGTCTACACAGCCATACAGTGTTGCACCACTAACGCTAGCTACTCCACTGCTGTATTTTTACATAAAATAAAGAATTTATACTGAGAAGTAAGGCATATTGATTATAAAACTTACTGCCTCAAATCAAGCTACATACATTTCACCATGCAACATATCTCTGACAAATTGTCTAAAATGTCTTTTGTTAACATAGCAATTTACCATAATTTTATGTTTTAAGTATAACATTTTATTAGTGCAACCTATATTTATATGATGAGGTATTACATAAAGTGATTAAAAATTCAGCAAATTATATTTAAAATTTGAATGGCATAGACAGAGAAAATGGCCACATAAATAATTCATTTATTCATAAAATTAGCTATACTAAAAAAAAAACAAAATATATTATGGTCCTATAAATGAGAAGGGAAATAAAACATTTTGAGGTAATGAGGAGGACTCTTGAAGATACAAAGATCACAGAATTTGGGCACAACTTGATCATACTAAATTTAATATATGTTAAGCTTTTGAGAAAACAAGTATGAACACACTTGTGGTTACAGTTGGAAATAACTATGACCATGTTCATTACTTCACATATTATATGCGGAAGTCAATCAAGAGAGTCAAGCAAAATTATTATTATAATTGCATTGGGTAGATTTTTCAAGAAACACAAAATCAATAGACTTTATATTCAATACAGCAAATATATACATATACATATATATATATACATTTACACACTTATATGTGTAAAGTGTGTGTGTGCATGTGTGTGTTAAGTTTAACAATTCACAGTTAGGAGAAGTCCAGAGTGCTTGGACATTGAAGAGACAGAAAATCCCATAGCAGCTGGGCAGAATTAATTAGTTAGAGAACAAGAGGCATAAATAAATCAACAACACTCCAATATCACAAGCCTTCAGCCTACCTGGAGGGTCCTGATGATGAGGCTGACTTGTGTAGCTAAGGAAATCGGAGTTTTGAAATATTTCAACAGAACTCCTTTTTCTTCCCCTTTTATACTACCTGACGTGTGACCTTATTGGTGGATGCCACTCAGAATCACCTGAGGTTCTCCCCCAGGAAGATTGGTGAACTCCATAACAAAGGTATCTGAAACATGTGACAGGCAGTTCTAGAATTGGGTTTGCCTAATCTGGCAGATATTGCTTCATCCAGTCAAGTTAACATGTGATGATTAGCACTCACAGTGAATCTCATGTTCACTTCACAACCAGACACATTTCCCTAAACCACAGGTAATTTACAAACACAGAATAGCAAGTTTACAACCCCACTTAACATAATAGAGCTATCTTGCATGGAACTGGAAGCACATTAACTCCTTCCATATATAGCACCCAGAGCTTCCCTTGGGTGATGCTTCCACTACACATGGCATGACTCCACTAAAAATGTAGAGTTAATAATATTTAACTATTGAAATTAATTCAATCACTATTATGCTGTATAGTATAGAAAAAACACATAAGATTTTATGTATTTGACTTTAGAAGGTACACAGCTGCTCCAGATTCCTTACATGGATGGAGAACCCATACCTTCATTCCTGAAGTACTTGGGCAAGTTCTCATTCATCCTGGATTGGTTTGATGTACTTTGCAATTAACCTTACTAACAGGCCATGGTAATACCAGCAGAATCCTAAAGAATACCATGCATTCCAAATGTATTGACCAATACCTCCACTGTGAAGCAACAGTCCAGTTTCTCCTTGGCAGTCTGCACCAGTTCCACCATGAGCAACATAACTCTCCATCAAATCATTGGCTTAGGTGCATGATGGTCCCAGAATGCACCTGAATGCATTTCCTGAGGGGAAATATTCAGACTGCATTTCAATAGATTCCTTGTTACTCCAGTAGGAGAAGCTATTACCTTTGTGGAACTGACTTTTAGTTCAGCAGAGTTTAAGGTCACACAAACAGCAGGTAAATATGTCACTAGAGGGTCCTTGAGGGAAACAGTCAGTAGAAGCATTGCAACTTTGACTGATTGATTCCTGGACCCATGAATCCTGGGCATGGGAGAAACAATTCCAGATGTAGGATACTGATTAAGTGCTTATATAGAATTACGTGTAAATCTGCCCAGCCTTGCAAGGTATGACAGCATAGCAGCAATGTCATTACACCCTCAAATGACCCTTTCATCCACTTGCATGTGTGTGGTTGCATTATTGATGAAGACTAGAGTTAGAGGAATTCAAAGCCAGTTCGTATCTGTGTCCTAACAATGTTCAGGTGACTTAGTAACTCATGAAACTCATATCAGCTGTCAAAATGTTGTGAAATTTAAACAATAGAGTATGGCTGTCTTCTGAAGAACACTGAAAATCCACTCTTTTTTTTGGATGTTTGGAGTGATTAATCATAATCTAACATTTTTATTCTCATGACATCTGGTTTGGCTTTCTGTTAAAGGAAAATAAACTGACAACATGACTTGGAAATTTTTATCTAATTATAGGCAAGCATCATCAACATAATCATTCGAAGGAAGAATCACAAGAAAACATTTCAGAAAGAGTGAATATGAGATTAGCAGTTTTCTTCGTTGGCAGTTTGGCACTTCAAGAAGGAGAGAAGAAATTTAATCTTGTGTACATCAGCAACAAAGCAACGTAGTGTTTTATAAATAGCAAACAGATGTTGTCCTTCATTAGATGACTTCAAGGACTTCAGGCCCAAACTTAGACCAAAAACCTCTTCCTCTGAGACTTCAAGATCAAGCTAGACATAAAAATACAGTAACTATTGATGATAGTATTAATACTCATGTATCCATATTTCTTTAAAAGTTAAATTGTGATTTGGAAAGTAATGAAAAATGAAATCTTCAGCCAAACTATTTTTTCAATGTTGAGACTGTAATGAACTTATTGGACATCTAAAAGCTAGAATCAGAACACAGGACCAATTTTCTGACATGCAGTGATCTCGGGGGTTTACGTTCCTGGAAGTGAAGTCAGGGGAAAATCTGGAAATTTGCTACTTCAGGAGAGACATGGCTTTGCTCAAGGAACAATGGAGAGCATCCTACTGTGGTGCTTAGGCAACTTTTACACTTGCTCAGAACTGTCCCTGTTCTTCCAATTGTACATTCTTTCTTCTGATAAGTCAGTTTTTATTGTTTGATACTTTGACCTGAATATATTCTGTATAACGTATCACTACTGGGATTCTAGAGATGTTGAATTTGCACTTAGTGCTTGAGGGTGCTGACAATTGAGTCATGAGTGACAAAATGTCAGTTGCATCCCTCCCCCAAAAAAGTATCTTCCAAATAAGAAGCATCTACTTTCTTTTGAGTTGCATGGAGTGGGAGCAGTTTATAGAAGCATGCATAAGAGGGAGGGTGCTGGCAGCAGCCCTGTGGGGAGGGCTGTGCTGTGGATGGGGGAGACTGCTTCAGGAAAGTGCTGCACAGAGCAGGAGAGAGCTGTGGGGCCTGTGCCTTCCGTGGGCCTCTGCAAACTGGAAGACCCTCAGATCCCAGAGAGCCAGTGTCACTGTGCTTTGGCTGAAGGCATCAGCTCATTTCCAGAGTGATGAGGTACAAGTCTGGGATAATTATAGACCCTGATCTATTGAGACTTTTCCATATTAAGAATATACTTTATTGAAATTCGACGTATGCGACTTTGTAGTTTATCTAGGTTTGTGTTAATTTTTCTTTTGAATCTTTGACCATAAGAGAATGTATCCTGTAAAATAGTAATATATGCACCATAGTATATTACTTGTTGGACAAGGGACATAAAGCAATGAATTCTAGAACTAATTTGTGTCTTCAAGAAATGTTCTCACAATAATGAAGAAAACAACTTGATATTAAGGTAATTCTTGCCTATGATGCTTGCTTAAAACTCTCTTTTTTCTTGTAGGACTTTTCCACAAAATGACACAAATTTAACAGGTATTTAGGAAAAAAACATACATAAAATTGCTTCTGTGATTACTTCCAAAATCACATATCATTTTTGTTTTGTTTTTTTTCTGAAAAAGGGTCTCAGTTTGTAGTTGAGACTGAGCTGGTACTCACTAAGTAGCCCGTGTTGGTCTCAAACTCACAGCAATCATCCTGCCTCAGCCTACAGAATGCTGGGATTACAGATATACACCAACATATATCTTTATATGATTCTTCTTCCTTTTTTTTTTTTTTTTTTTTTTTTGTACCGAGGATTGAACTCCGGTCCTTGAACTTGCAAGGCAGGCCACAGAACCGTTGAGCTAAATCCCTGGCTATCTTTATATGATTCTGACAACATTAAAAAGATGCAAATGTGCTGTCTCACTAATATAGGAATATTCCTAAATGAATTCAATCTTCATATGACAAATTATTTCTGAAGTTTAAATGTTATGACATACATATTCATTTAGAAACATTAAGGACTCTGAAACTTAGGATGAAATTCTACGAACTGTAAAACTAGGAACATTCCAGTATAGAAACAGCTCTTCTTTGGCAAAGCTTTAAACTCAGGTGCTTGTGAGACAGCACTGGTGATCTGGCTTCCTGCCTACTCCGGCTAGGGTGTGGGGCAGACCTTCCTATATGATTCAGATTTTCTCCTCTCTCCTTTCACACTCTAATCCTCCGGTGTAAGGAGAATACGGAAAATATGACCTAACTTCCTGTGTGGTCCTCCTGAGATACTCTGAAGAAAGCATTTCTTACTCGGAAGCTCTGCTCTGATTTTCTTTCCTGAAAAATATTTAATCACCGACCCCATGAGAACCCAAGACTTGGGGACACTGGGGACAGTGCAGGGAATTGTCCCATGTCAGAAGGTGAACCCTAAAGTTTGTTTCCATTAGAATCGGGATTTTGTTTGGCTAAGGCTATTAATTTGTTTAACAACAGAGTAGAAGTTGGAACATTTGGCCTCAGTGTGATTCTAGCCATGTGAGGTATTTCAAACACTTTGCCATATGTGAAAACTAGTTGTTTAAAATGCAAAGAAGCATCAAAAGACTGCTTACCTGGATGCCTATTTGGACAATAGCCTTTTTAAGCTTTTGGTATTTTACATATATTATTTGATCTTTAGTTGAGAGAATATCATAGAGTTTTGGTGGGCGATTATCTTCCAGGACCATCTCCTGCAGGGCCTCATTCCAGGAGTTCACCAACTGGAACACCACCTTGAAAATGTCTTCTTTCTATTCAGACAGTTTGGAGCAATCACCATAAAGTAAGTGACATGCAGGTGGGTTAGTTAGAGGAGATTTGCTCAGAGAGACAGAGGTAAAATATACTGTATTTTTTACATATGTAAAATATTTTTGTAGGTGATAGAAGTTTTCAGAAAAATACAGTGAAGCATTTAGCTAGCATACACTGTGCTGACAAAAAAAACACACTCAAATATGCCTTTTTCTTCCTATTTCACATTGTCAATTGTACAATTTGGATCCATTTACACTGGTGCAGGGGAAACGGGGAGGGGAGGATAAGAAAATAAGGGGAAAGAAAAATATGAAAAAAGGAAAACAAAGTCTTTGCAAATAGGGGAGGTGGTGAAGGGGAGCAGGGGTATGGAGAAAAATGAGAACAAAAATCTGTTTCATAAAGGTACAAGATCCGAGTGATAAATGTAACTGTATGGTATACTTAAAAAGTACCAATAAACTCAATGAGGAAAAAAAAATGAAGCAACATTAAATGATCCCAAGGAAAAACATGATGTTGGCATCAGTGATGATTCTGACATGCTGTAGTTTCACTAGAGTTCTTCTATTTTATTAAAATAAAGAATGCAAATTAGCTTGTATAGCATAAATAAAAAATGGAATATGGAAACAGCTATTTTTTGTATTGAGAGTTAAAATCAATACAATTCAATGTTGTTTTCCCTATGAAATATTCTCCTTTTATTTAAAATAATGTTAAGATCTTGTTCCATTGAGGAACTCAGAAGAGACAGGTCTTAAGCACAAACAATTACAACTTATGTAAATGAGGATGGCTGAATGTGGAGAGATTGTTTTTGTCAGAAGAGAGACTAGAGTTGCATCTCTGAGAAGGTGGACAGAGCATAGAACAGGTCATGCACAGTGAACTGACGTTCAGCTGAGGCATAGAATGAGGCAGGGGTACGAGTGCAGAGTGAGGAAGTCGGCATCAGAGAAGCAGAAGCAGAGGGAGAAGGATGAGGACGGTTTTCAGAGACTGGGAGAGAACGTGTAGTTCTGACATGGGTTACTGATGTACACACCACAAATGCAGGAGTCACAGTAACCTGTGATAGATAGGGACCACAGTTCTGCTCTTATTCAAGGAGCATACTATATTCAATGTGAGCTACAAGGCATTGGCTAAAGTACTATGATCTGCATGGCCAATTTCTGATTGTAGTGAAATCTTCACTTAACCTTACATTGGTTGTATAGTTCAGCAAATATGTAGAGTCCTTTCTTTTGGGTTCTTAGTCTTCCCTCCTTTTCATGACAGGTATGACTGCTGCTAAGATCTTCTGTATTATTGCAGATTATTCACACCAGAGAAACTATTCGGTATTTACCCATGTGTGCCTTGTTTATTTCACTTAGGTGTATATCCTCAATATGTAATCATTCTCCTATGAATGAATCTATTTTCTCATTCTTTATGGCTGAGTAATATTCCATTTTATAGAAAAAACAGATCTTCTTTATCCAGTTTCCAACTGATGGGCAAATGGGCCGTTTCCCAGTTTTAGCTATTACAAACTTTGCCGCTGATTACAGAGGCTGAGAGAGCCTGGTACAGGGCAGAGCCAGTCACTGACTCAGCTGTTTTGGTGGAGCAGGGCTAGAGACTTACCGGCAAAAGCTTGGCCTCCTCCAGCTCATCGTGAGTGAGGATATCAGCTGTGTGACACATTTTTTTGGCTGGGGAGAAGTAGCCTGGGTGATCCAAATACGTAAATGTCTAAAAATGATGAGAATTTCTTTAGTGTGGACACGCAAATCGAAAACATGGATTATGTGAATACATTTGGGGTATATGTAATTTTTTGAAAAGTGAGATTTGAATGAAAACTGAATATGAAGAATTAAGAAAGTCACCATTGAGCCTGGTGTTTCCCAGTAGCTCTGCAATTCCCCTATTTTCAATTCATATTTTAAACTCACCACCTCTTCTTAGCTTCTTTGCTGTGCCCTTGTCCTCTCACCCTTCCAAGGAGTCACACTTTGAAATGCAAACCCAAAAAGCTGTAAAAACTGCATATTGGTTAAGAACTGTAACTATAACTCTCTCTAGTATCTGAGCTAAACCCATCCTGATTAGGCATCTACATCCAAGTATTGAATCTCTTTTTTCCTCTGGGTCCAAAGTCATATTCTTTCTATAAATAAAGATTAATAATTGTGTTTCTGAAAATAATTTTTAATCCATAAACATGAGTATTGCCAGGTTAGTATAAATTCAAAATACAAGATATTCAATGCGACAAGATATGGAATAAAATGGAGCAAAACACCACTGGAAATTGTCAATAATGCATTGAGATGAAAAGCAAAGAGAAATTGAGTGAGCAGCATGAAGCCCAATTTGTGAAGGTTTAAAAACATGGATAGGATGATTTGGAGACAGACACACCATGGCAACTTGAAAATGGGGGCAACAAGAATTGTATGAATAATTGTGTGTGTCACAAAAGCTGGGCCACATGATCTATGAGTCCTTGGCTGCTCTAAACCCCACTCAACTTCTGACCTATAAGAGAGGACATTGTTCACGTAATTAGGAGTAATCTTTCATGTAATCTTTCCTCTATGAGACTTCAGTTTAGTTAACTCTGCTCAGTCCACCCAATGCACTGCAAAATCTCTCTGGCTTCCCAGGTATCTGCAGTGCACTCAGTGAAGAATGACTATAGAGCAGCCCGTTGTGCAAGAGCAAGAAATCAGTGCTCAACCTCAGCCCCTCTTAAAAGTGGTATGGCAAGTGGTTTGAATGTTAAACTTATATGTACTAACTAATCTTTTTAATGATTATTTGCTTTGCAATGAAAATTCTATGAAAGATTCCCTTCCTTTTCTTCCAAGATTATTGACTAACACCATTTTATTCATATTAATATTTTTTCAGCTTTAATTGAGTTTATTGGTACATTTTAGGGATACAGTACAGTTACATTTATTGTTGGGATCTTGGACCTTTACATGAAAAGTCTTGGTTCTCATTTTTCCCCTTGTCCCTGCCCTCCCTTCACCCCTCCTCCACTCTCCATGTACAAACACTTTATTTCAGTCTTTTCATTATCTCACATTTTTTTCCCCTTATTACCCTTCCCCTACCTATCCCACCTTCCCTACACCTTTAGGTGCTTTCTTCCCATTTCTCAATGTCAGTAATCTTATTAGGATCTTCTGTATTATTGCAGATTATTCACACCAGAGAAACTATTCGGTATTTACCCATGTGTGCCTTATTTATTTCACTTAGAAGTATATCTTCAAAATGTATCCATTTTCCTATGAATGAATCTATTTTCTCATTCTTTATGGCTGAGTAATATTCCATTTTATGGAAAAAACAGATCTTCTTTATCCAGTTTCCAACTGATGGGCAAATGGGCTATTTCCCAGTTTTAGCTATTACAAACTGTGCCACTATAAACATGGGACTTTATTAGATATTTGGTTGCTGAAGTTTTCATGTTTGCAATGTATTATAAGCTAATCCTGAGTCAGATTTCTCCATTTAGGAAGATATAAAAATGAGATGCTCACCAGTTTGAAGAGCAGGTCTAAAGCTTCGAAATACATGCTCTGAGACAAAGAAGATGCTCTCTGATAGAGTTCCTGGAGAATCAGGTGGCATTTATCCCCAGGAACACAAGTGCTTTGGGAGGCAACTTTCTGGCACAGGAGCAGGCTTGAGACCAGCAGCAGGAGGAGGGACCCTGCTAAAACAAAACCCCAGCATCAAGGTCGATCCATTTGGCAAGGTGATCACAAGCCATTCTTCTGAGGGAAACTTCATCTATCTCCACTGCCTCCAAGGCATGACTCGGTGCTGTAAATGATCAAGTAAGGAAGACACAACTCCTTCTACTGTGTACCTGTAGGTGCAGGGCATTTTCACAGTCTGAGAAGTAGATGACTCCTGGACTTTCATATTATACCAAAAAAGGCTTCTGTACTTGGCAAACACTTGGAAATTGAATTCAATTTGATTCAAGACTTTTAAAGCATTCTCGTAAATTAGATTAATGTTGGGCTGGAGATTTAGCTCAGTGGTGCCACCATCTGCATTCCAACACAAGGTCCTCAATTTGATCCCAGGTAACAAAAAAATTAATCAACTAATGTCTGCAGAATTTATGCAGCTGATCAGCAGTAAGATTCTCCAGGAGTCTGTAATTTTTTAAATCACTCATAGATATGAGCATCTAAAACAGATATATGAGAGCACCACATCTTATCAGGAGGTTTCATCTTCTCGTTTGTTAAGAATAAACAGGGCTGCAAGGTTGCTGATACTGGGTATGAGGAAAATCCTGCCATAAGAAAAATGTCATAAATTGGATCTTCCTCTATGCAATTGCCTGGCACTTGGCCAGTAACATTACATAATTTTCCAAATTTGAGCTTTATTATACTTCTCACCAATTGACTGGGACTTCATAACAATCACCCTGTGTATTGAAACACAAGATTTAGAAGAGGCAAATGATATTCCGGAGTCCTACCATTAGCAGGGGAGGAGGCAGCGCATCCTCAATGTGGTCTGTGCCCTTCACCTCCTCACATCCTGCTCATCTGGGGGCTCTCAGTCTGTGTCTGTACAGCAGGGACCACATCTGTGGTCGTGGGGCACAGTGTGTACGGAGCCTACTGCCAATCTCGAGGTGGACAACATTCGCATTATGCAGTAGAGTGACAGGGCCCTCAGAGGCTAGACAGGATCTATTTTCTCTTTTCTAAAATATCACTTTCCAAATCTTTGTGAATGATCACAAGTGATTTAGTCAATTTGCTTTTCCAGTAGATGGAAAGATCCAAGCATAATAATAATAAAGATACTATCAATGATTCACACTCACAATATAAAAATAATAGTGAGTTGCTTAAAAACTAAAAATCACATTTTGCCCTCAGTGGCACTACTCCCAAAGAGTTTTTGATAAAAGATTACATTAATAGAATAAGTTCAGGGCTGAAAATTTGGATCAGAGATTCCACCACCTGCTTCACAGCACAAGGTCCTAAATGTGATCAACGGATCAAAAAAAAAAAAAAAAAAAGAATAACTTTCACTGAAACTTTGATAAATACAACTAAAAATTTCCAAGATAAAATTAGATATTCTAAAAACTAAATGAAAAGTAGCTAAAATAATTGAATATAATTAAAATTACACTATATAATGTAACAAAGTTTTAGCTCCAATTTTAAAATAATGTGATATGATTTATTTGATAGAGATATACCTTTCCAAAATCATATTGAATCCAATATTTTACTTTATACAATCTGCCATAATAGAATTATAAGTGAATATTTTATGTGCATATGTTAATTAAATATACTTAATAGAGAGAAAAACTACTATGAATGCTGGGAAACTCATAAGTGGATAAATGTTCTTTAACTCTAAGTGCAGTTATCTTCAAATTTATCATTGTATTCATTTTTACAGTCTGATACGATAAAATACACAAGTGATTTTATTGTTTATATCATACAAAATGTATAGTTGTTACTAATCTACTTTTCACACAAAATGTCTCAGGAAGCAAAAGCAATTTTTTAACACTAGCCTGTGTCTCACTTCTAAAAGGCATTGGCTTGAATGAAACTGAGAATTCACCATAAGATGAACATTGGCTAATAGGCCTGCATTGTGAGCTCAAAATTGAAAGTTTCGCTAAGGTGACATAACTTGGCCAAATGAGATAATACTCCAGGAAACCAGAAAAGTTCAATTCTGATCTTCTAGAGATGAGACAAATTGGACTCATTGGCTTTTGTGGTCCAGAGTAGGGCAAACTCAGCCTTGTGGCTTTCTGTGCAACCTATGCTCTTGTTAAGACATCTATCCCATGCATTGGACAGTGCTTGCCAACACCTGTCCTCTCTCCATTAAATATAGCACCCTGCCCGTACTCCATAACCCCCAATAGTACACTGCAGAAGATCTTTAGCTCTTTCCACATGTTTAAAGCTATGAAGGTCCAGCACTTGATAGAAAAATTAATATGATGACTGAATCTTTCTATTAAACTCTATGAAATTCCATCACAGACAAATCATGATATTTCTTCTACACCTATGAATCTGAAGCTTATTGATATTAGCTACATTTATTTATTAGTAACTCACAAAAGAGTGTCAACGAAGCCAACAACTCCCTGAGATGCTGCACGTACCTTTCCCCTTGGTATCCATGGTGATGAAGAAGATGGAAAGCTCACTTCGCCAGAGAAGGACTGGCTGTGTCAAGAACAAGGTCAGAGGTCAGTTTCAGAACATTTGAAATTTTTATGAACGCATTTAATCAGACATTCTCATTTCTCTCCCTCTTTTTCTGTCCTTATTATTGCATGCATATCTCCATACAAAAAGTTTCTTTCCTTTCTTTCCTTGTTTTTTTTTCTTTCTTTGGTGCCTGGGATTGAACTTGGGTCCATATGCTTGTGAGGCAGGCAGTGGCACCACTGAGTTAAATCCCTGTCCCTGTTTCTTTATTTCTGACTCACACTCAGGAAGATGTATTGGCCATAAATGTAGGATTTTTATGAATTAGCCAAAATGTAAATGAAGGAGAAGATGAAGGTAATCTTGCAGACCAGTGTGTGTTGGTGAATTTTCAAAATTTAAAGTCATTTACTTTAAATTGATGGTAATTTCTGTGTAGTATCAAATCAATGCCATTGCAATTCTTGAAAGAAATACCCTCTAATTATCATTATAAAATTTATCCTTCAGAAATGATAGATAAGTTTAAATATGTTTGTGTGGTAAATACCATGAAATATAAAATACAAATTAAGACAAATATAATTTTCTCTAATATAAAGTGATTGAATTTCTGTACTTTAAATGCATTTATATTTTTTAGCAGCTAAGTTTTAAAATGAAATATCTGTGCACCTTGTTTCCTAACATATATTTTCATCTCTTTCTTACTTTTGCCTTTAACATATAAGGAAATCTTTATTAATATCCCTAGTACAGAGATTTTTTTAAAAAAATGGATCAATTGCACAGATATGTATAGAATTATTTAGCCCACAGTCAAGATACACATAGAGAGATTCTTGCTTCTAAGAGATAAAGCAGGGGCTTGAGACTAAGATATAGTACTCTTTCAGGGACAACACAAACACACATAAACACACGTGCTCACTGATGCCTAGTACATAATGTAGTAAACGAAAATTCTAGTGGAGAGTTTCTATCATTACCAAGGATACAGAAAGATAACCTTGAATTAGCTTGTACTCAATTTGCCTTCTTGGGCCCAAGTCTCTCTGGAGGAAAGTGACAAAATTCATCTTCTATGACCTCAAAATTTCCACGTACCATTTAGAGATTCCTATATGGAGTCAGTGTAATTAATAATAATCCGGTTGATGAAGAATTTCACACACACACACACACACGTGCGCACACACACACACACACACACACACACACACACACACACATATATATGCAATAGCCTTACAATTTCAAAGCCAGCAGAGAGACAATAGTTGTTATCTGTGTTTGTATGAGCCAAAAAATCTCATAGCTGCTGGCCACAGAACTTATTACTGAAACAACAGAGGGATTAATAAATCAACACCACTCCAACATCAAAAGCCTGAAGCCTACCTGGAGTTTCCTGGTGATGAGGCTGACTTGAGTAGCTGAGGAACCCAGAGTTTCAAAACACTGCAACAGATCTCCTTTTTACCCACCTTTTATTTGACCTGAAGTGTTGGCAGATCCACCCACCATCCCCTTCACTCCTCCCCAGTCAGGTTGCCACCATAACATAATATCTCAGATATGTGACTGGCAGCTCTGGGAGTGGGCTTGGGTAATCTGCTAGATATTGCTTCATCCAGTCAAGATGGTATGGGATGATTAGCAGTCAGTGCACATCACGTGTTGATTTTCCAAGCAGACAGATCTCCCAAAACCATACCTAGTTTACAGTACACACAATGCCAAGTTTATAACTTCATTAACATAATAAAGCTATTTTGCATGGAACTGGGAGCACATTAACTCCTTCCCTCTGTGAGGAGCCAGAGATTCCTTTTGGTGAAGCTTCCACTGCACATGGCTTGACTCCACTCATAATGCAGATATAATGACATTTAACAATGATATTAACTCAATTACTACTCTGCTGTATAGTATATAAATGCAAATATATCCCCAAGCATTTCATGTATATGATGTTAGCAGTTATCATAGTGTTCAGATTTCATTAGAGGAACTCATATCTCATACCTTTATTACTGAGGTGTTTCGGCAAGTTCTCATTGTTCCTGGACTAGATTGTTAAAGTTCCTATCTAATCTTTTTTTTTTCTTTTTTTTTTATTGAGGTTATTGGTACATTTAGGGATACAGTACAGTTACATTCATTGTTGGGATCATGTACCTTTACATGGCAAGTCTTGATTCTCATTTTTTT